TGCACCAATAGGAATTTAGTAAATTAAATAATTATTTAATTAAATAAATATAGATACTAAATGATTTCCATAATTATATGTATATTAAATGATATCCATAATTATAATTCTCTTTTTATGGAAACTAATTAAATCCGTCATTAATGCTAGCAATAACATTCTTTCAGAATGAATTCGCATCTAGGTTTTTATATATGAGTTCGTATTTTGTTTCAGGACTCACTCACTTAAAATACAATAAAGTTGAATGGAATATGAAGAACAAGAGTGTATTCTACTAGAATACACTCTCATTCTGCTAGAATACACTCTCATTCTTCTAGATATGAATTCATTCTGAAAGAATATTATTGTTGACATTAATAACGAATTTAATTAGTTTCCATAAAAATGAGTTATAAGTATGGATAGCATTTAATATACATATAATTAATACTAAATTCCTATTGGTGCATTCTAGCACACAATAGATGTGAGAACATTTGAACCTTATATATATATATATATAATATATATATATATATATATATATATATATATATATATATATATATATATATATATATATATATATATATAAAATAAAAGCAATGTTATCGATGTAGATAAAATCTAGTTTTATTTTTTGTATTTTAAATTCATGTAATACATGGAACAAACTTCATTGAATATAATGTTCAATTTCATGATCTCAATCTCTACTACTTTTGAATATAATGTTTAATTTTTATAGTAAAATAAAAAAGAAAACAAATGAATTATCAAGGTAATTACCTTTTCGTTTTGTTCACATCTAGGTAAACAAAGTTGTTGGAAGTGTTCACATATGAAAACAAATGAATTATCACGTCTTTTCTTCGGTTTCGCCGTCTTCATTTTGAAAACTGGATGGAATTTAATTTCAGTTTTGAAATCATATTTCTCCTACACGGGCTGAAGTTTTATAACAGTAGAAGTAGTTCTTCTACACTTTCTCTTGATAAAGATGGTGGTTTCTGGGAACATAGGCCGTTGCCAAAGCTTTGAAAAACACCAAAAAAATTTCTGATTTCAAACTCATCGCCCTCTCTCAACCCGAAGGATTCCATGATTTCACTGTTACTACCAAGATTTCAAACGATTTCACGATCTCACCATTCTATTTGCAACAATCGGACACAACTACTTAAGGTTAATCACACTCTCCCTCGTTCTCTCGCTACTACAAGATAAGGAAGAGGCGCCTTCCATGTTGTGGTATTAATATAATGGTATAAAGTGGTTATTGTAAACTTTAATCATGTTGAATTCAAACAAATCAGATGATGCTAAAGTCAAAGAAGTGTTGGAAAAAGTAGGGTTTGTAGTGGAGATCTGGATACCACTTGGATCGTAAAAACACTTTCCGAACTGATATTTCTACCCTATGCCTGGGTTGAAAGAAATTCAGCCTAGGATAATCCAAGAGGACACTTACGATACTAGGCACAGAAATCGTAAGCCAAATTGCTAGAAGGATTTTGTGTTGTTTGATGAAAACGAGAGCTTAAGAATTTCGTGTGTCTCTTCTCAAAGAGAAGAGTCGTTTATATAATAAACGAGATCAGGGTTTCATTAGGGCTGGCCGTCATGAGTTGCTTTGGAAGCAAGTCAAGAAATCCGAAATTTAATGAGGATTTAGGGTTTCCAAAAACTGACGAATTTCGTCAGTTTTACCATAAATCACCATCAAGAATTCGTTTTTCCCACTATGTTCTCATATGTATTGTTCGAAGAGTTTTTGGGGCGCTGCCCCTTGGACCCCGCTAGGGGCGCTGCCCCTTTGGAAACCCCGGACCCAGGGACGCTGCCCCCGGACCCCCCGACTTGTCGTCGAACTAGCTTCTATTTTGATCTTATACATGCATGCACTATGCACAAACCCCCGTACATATATTAGAGTACAAATTATGAATCCCCTTAGCTCACATGTTAGTTCCAGTTACATAAATAGACATGGTGACACTAAAATCACCAACAAGAAGAAACTTTACCGGTTATAACTTATAAGTTTCAAATATTAATTACTTTCATCTTTGATCTATTTATTTGTTTTTATAGGATGCAACTGCGATTTGGATGTGAATTTTGGCAGTCATAACCTAAGCAATAAAATTTTTGAACCAACAAAAGCTGAAGAGGAAGCTATTTCTAAGTGTTTTCAGGTTCTTTTCTACCCTCATTTTGTTTAATATGAAAACAAACACATGTGTTGCATTCTCATTTTGGATTTACTTGAATTTAATAAATGCATGACAATTGAAGATGATGTTAAGTTTATATATTAGTATCTATACAGGCTTTCATATGGGATTGCTTTGAAATTAATATGTTACATTGTTCAAGATGTATGTGGTAGTTGGTTTTGGCGTTTTAGCCTCTAATGAATGCAAACAAATTTGTACTTGATTGTGAATACTCCGTATCTAAAATGTAGTAATTGCACAAATACTTTGTTACTTTTTTTTTTGTTAATTCTTTAGTTTTTATTTTGGCTATATTCAGGTCAGCATCTTCTGATATATGTTCCAAATTCCAGAAGCAAGGGATGAGGAAGGCTAACTAGAAAGTTCGTAGTCAAGTTTATTTTGGATTTTTAAAAGATGGGTATACAGACCCACAGAAGACGAAACAAGGGTTTGTGCATACTCATGGTTGAGGGCACTATACCCGGTTTCTGTAATATGACAATGTTTCCACTCAACTCGTCCATTTTGCTGAGGTGAATAAGGACAAGATAAACGATGATGTGTTCCGTTTTCCACAAAGAATGTGCGTACAGGGTTGTTTACAAACTCGGTTCTTCCATCTGATTTGAAAAACCTTGATTTTACATGAAAATTGAGTTTGGACCAGGTTGATAAAGGCTTGAAGAACCACATAAAAATCAGATTTAGCTTTTAGTGGGGTAAAACCATGAAAATCATGAGAAGTCGTCCACAAAAACAACATAATAATGATACCTATCCGTGAAATCAATTGGAGAAGGTCCATATAAATCACAATGTATCATATCTAAAACATGCAAGGAATGCTTGGAGTTAAGATCAAATGGTAAATGTTTACTTTTAGATAATTGGTATGAAGCACAATTTCGTGGGGTCGGTAAGACAGAAGTAACACTTAAACAACCAATTTTATTAAGCAAAGAAATAATGTCAAAGGAAGCATGTCCTAAATGAATATGCCAAAGTTCATAAAATACTCGTAACCGCCTGGAGAAAACACTTGACAAGAAAGCATGTTGCCTTTGTTGTAGCACATATAATGCATCTTTACTTCTGCCCTGAGCTAGAGTCTCCTTTAAAACCTGATTCTGAATTATAAACATACTATTAGAAAATAAAACATCAACAAGATTATCATTGGTAAGCGTGATGATAGATAAAATATTTTTGGTGAGTTATGATACCACGAGAACATCAAGAAAATTAATAGTAGGAGATATAGTGGATGTACCAATATGAGAAATAGAAGAAGAATTGCCATTACCAAAAACGACCATTTCATTACCAAAATAGGTAGAGACTGAATCCAAATGTGAAGGAGAAGAAGTCATATGGGTAGATGCACCAGAATCTACAAACCAATCAGGTGTGCTATTTGAAACATTGCACTAGGCTTGAAAAGGTTCCACACATTGCACTAACAAATGTGTGCAAATCAGGACACAGATTTGCATAATAACCGTCTTTACGACATTATTAATAGTGTGGAGGTCGTCGAGAAGAGCCACCACTACCATGACCTCGTGAAAAAACACCATGGGAAGATCCGCGCCCTCGATTAGTTGTTGACTAACCACGACCAGAAGATGCAACAGTAAAGGCACAGGAGGGGGGTTGCTATTTGTCATAGTAGATAAAAAGAACTTGTGAATCTCGGCTTGGGAGAGAAAATCATGAAACGAGGGACGAGGACCGATCAAGTGTTGTGTGGTTGAGAACATTTCAAACGATGAACCAAGACCAAAGAGGAACCAATGAATCTTATCGGATTCCTCAAGGGGATGACTGAGAGCACTGATTCGATCACATACAACTTTAAATTTTCGACTATAATCAACAACAGTAGATCATCCCTTCTGAAGATGATGAAGAGAATCACGAGGAGTGTGTACCTGTTCAATAAAGTCATGACTGTAGGTATTTTCTAAAGCCTTCCAAACATAATGAGCAGTATCATGACCGAAGGTCTTAGCCATAGCTTCTTCAGATAAATATGATAGTATGAGAATAAGTGTGTGTTGATTAGCAGTGAGCCAGGAAGCATATGAAGGGTTTGGAGAAGAGACATTATTGGTAATAATGGTGGCTGGCGGAGCAAGGATAGACCTATTAATATAACCTGTAAGTTTTTGATAACCAAGAAGGGGCAACATCTGTCGTCGCCATAATAAATAGTTGGATGAAGAAAGCTTAATGGTAAGCATGTAAAGAGTTGTAGCAAGAGGAAGAAGGGAGTCTGCTTAGTTCCAACGACCATGGAGATCAGTGAAGATGAAGAAGAAATTAAGTTGATACCATAATAGGGTTTGTGAAAATCACTTTATGTTCGTGATGAGTATATTGATATCAATTTATAATACAACAACATAATAAAATAAGGAAATACAAAACAACTTTCCAAAGATATGGGATCTTGAGAATCGGCTCTATCATAAGGTAATGTTAAGGGATGGAGCGACTTCAATTCGGAAGGCCTTTCAATTACTAATTTACTATAGTGTTTTACATTCTTGTGACTTGTTGCAAATAACATTAGGCTAATGTTTTAATTTTTCGAAAGTATTTTTTTGTTTATCAGGTTTTCGAGATTAATCTAGATTTTGTCTTTGAGGTTTCTAGATCTTTTTGTGTTTTTCGGTTTCGGTGTTTCATCTGGTACTATGTATCTTGATTTGGATTTTTTTGGTGTTTTAGGTTCCAAAGCTTCTTCCTGGTAGATCGATTGATATTTAGTCTTCATGTAAATCTTTTATCATGATAATTTCAGGTGAATATCATAACTGAGAATAAGCACATTTTCGTTTTTACATTTTGTTTTTTGAACTAAAAGAAATACTGACTGAGATGATGCAATTTATAGGGTATGAAACTTTCATTAGTTCGGTACGACTATGTTACATGATGTAAATTACAAAAGATGGCAGAATCAGGGTACAACTATGTTACATTCTCATCTTTTTTATAGCGTCGTACTTTGTAAAATGGCATCATTTTGAGGATTTTTGAACATTAAGTGGATTTTTTTTTAAAATATTCTTTTATAACATTCTACTTTTTTGAAAACCGACATTTATAACATTTAGCATTTTAAAATGGTTTTTAACGATTTCGAACTTGGATTAGACAATAAATAAAAAACATATCCTTATATGACATTCTACTTTCTGTAAACTTTAAGTTATGTACCGGAAAAAGAATAACAAATATTATACGGTGTATGTGTGCTTTTATGTAACAAACTGTTTATAAGACCGTAGGTTTTTTTTTTTAACTATTTTTACTGTCATTTTATTTTATATCATCTTACATTCATTGTTTTTCCTTAATATCATTCTACTTTCATTAAATTACATGATAAAGTCAACCAAAAATAAATCTTCCTAACCCAAGCTTTTTCCTTAATAATGTCATTTTATTTGACCTGTCATTACGAGTTTAAATTATCAAAAGTGTTTTTCTTTCTTAATCATGATTTCCACGAGTATTAACCTACGAAATCATATAAATCAAATGAATAAATCATCTTTTATAAATGAACTCGTTTATGTTATTCGATTCGGATGCAATTTCTATCTTGTACCTAGACCTGTAAATGAGGCGAGTTTGGAGCGAATCACCATTAATCCAAACCCGTTAAAAAAAATAAAAACAGGACCCGCCCCGCTCCAATAACCCTCAGGGTCTTGAATAGTCGAATCCATACCCGTATCCACCGGATCAATGAATGCCCGACCCATTAACCCGACCCTTTTATAATATTAAATTTTCATAATTTTTATAGGTTCCAGAAAGTAATATTTCTCAAAAAGATAAAATATCTACTTAAACAAGATGTGCATTAATTAATACTCAAAGTCCAATACAATAAAAATCACATTTTACTTGGACATCGAGTTGTATATTTTGTTGTCATATATATATATATATATATATATATATATATATATATATATATATATATATATATATATATATATAATGGGGCGGATTATAAGTGGAACGGATCGACAATGATCCATACCCAACCCATTTATTAATAGGGTAAACGGGTATAGATCGTAAACGGGTAAACGAATCGAAATTAAAATCGAAACCCGTAAAATTCTTACGGGTTTGGAGCGAATCAGGGTCAAAACCAGCCCCATTGACAGACCTACTTGTACCCGCCCCAATTTAGTGTATTTCCGGATATACCCTTTCGCAGGGTTCATAATACTCCTCGAAGCTTTTGTCTATTGGGTAGCTCAATTCTGAAAAAGGTTATCCATCGGAGCTCTATCCGTTCACGCAGGCATCACCGCCACCTCTCTCTCCAGTCGCCGGCAAGACTCCCCTTCGCCTCCTCTCACATTTTCCTTGAACACTTATCTCTCACGCTTTCAAATTCTACTGTGAAATTCACAATAGATAATCATCGTAAATTTGCAGATGAGCATGAAATAATAACTGAATTTTGGTGGAAATTTCTATATGCTCGGTGTGATTTTTTTTACCTGTTTGGATTTTTGAAATGATAAATGTGGAAAGCTAGATTAGGTTTGTTTTGATCATACACTTGATTCGACAGGGCTTGTGTTCGAAGTTTGGTTAATTTTGGGGTTCAATAAACTCTGAGCTACAATTGTTAAATAGTAATAGAATCTCACAAAACCGAATGTAATTTAGTGTCGCTTTTGAATTTTACTGCTTTTGGGTTGAGGGTTTATGCGTAATTGATTTGCATAGTGGTTTAATTACGTTTTTCTTACAGCAGCTTCCATGGCGTCTCAGTTTATCCGTGAATGGAGTGGGATTCAGCAATTCCCTCCCGCCACCCAGGACAAGTTGCTACAACTGTTGGGAAAACTAAAGGAGAAGGTATACTCACTACACTCACATTACAAGCAATATTATTACCAATTTTCTTATCTAATTCCTGTTCAAATGTTACAGAAAAGGGACAGGTTAACGATTCTTGTAATGGGGAAAGGTGGAGTTGGAAAGTCTTCGACTGTGAACTCTATCATTGGTGAAAGAGCAGTTACTGTTAGTGCTTTTCAGGTACTTTTAAGAAGTTTCTAAAGATATTTTTAGACCTAAACTTTATTGTACATGTTGAATTGCTTATAGAACAACATGAATTTTTAGTCAGAAGCATTGAGGCCTACAATGGTGTCAAGAGAGAGGTCAGGGTTTACATTGAACATCATTGACACACCAGGCATTGTTGAAGGAGGATATGTTAATGATCAAGCTCTTGAAATCATCAAAAGGTTATCTTTACTTTCCATGGTTTTTAATACATATGAAAGAAAGCTTTTGTCTTGAAAGATTTACACTAATCGAAACTTCAAATATTTGACATTTACACATGATTACGATGCACTGTTTTCTTTTGTATGGTTGTTTGAGCAGGTTTCTTTTGAACAAGACAATAGATGTTTTGCTCTATGTGGATCGATTAGATGCATATAGAGTTGATACATTAGATGGACAAATTGTGAAAGCTATAAGCAATAGTTTTGGTCAAGAAATATGGAGAAAAGCAATTGTAGTTCTCACACATGCTCAATTATCACCTCCAGATTGTCTTTCTTATGATGAATTTTTAGCAAAAAGATCTGAAGCTCTTCTCAAGGTTGTGTATCGTGGTGCTAGGTTCAGAAAACTAGATATCGAGGTTCGTCTTTTCTTCAAAATTACCCTTTTGCCCTTACCCATGCCAACATATTTTCTGCAATACTTTATCACCTTTTCAGGTGGGTTGAAAGATTGCAATCTTTGTTCTAATTTGGCCCCTTGCTTTGACTGTGTGAAGTGTAAACTGTTGTCTTGATAAAATGACCATTTTACCCCTGTTATATATTTCGGTTAATGATCATGTAAAGTAATAATAATAACAATTGTTAATAATAATAATAATCATAAATAAAAGAGTAATTTACGTTTTTGGTCCCGGGGTTAGTTGATTTTTACAATTTTTGTCCCAAAAAGTTTCTCTTGCATTTTTTGGTAAAATGACCATTTTGTAATTATTTTTTTGTCCCTGTTCAAAATAATATGACTATATTTTTGGGACCAAATTGCAAAAACCAGCTATATTCAGGGACCAAAAATAATCATTTTACTTGTAACCTCAAATAATAAGGATCAAAATTGCAAGAGAAAATCTATTGGGACCAAAAATGCAAAAATCAACTATACTCATAACTCATGGACCAAAGTGTCATTTACTCCAAATAGAAGTATAAAATGGAGGGTAAATCGGTCACTTTATCAGGACTCAACAGTTTCTAATTCACAGAGTTAAAGTCAGGGTCCAAAACCTTGAAACAAGGACCAAAAATGAAAACAGATTCACTTCTAAACCCAAACCAAAAGAACATTATAAACCACAAGGACCATTTTTGCAGTTTACTCATTCTTTTGTATCAAGAAAAATTTACTAACTTTTACTCTGTTCTTGTTGCTGTTTATAGCACTTTCCTATTCCTATTGGTTTGGTTGAAAACAGTAGCAGATGCAACAAAAATGAGAAAGATGAAAAGGTTAGTACTTAATAGTCATTTTGATATTTATTTATTTATTTATTTTTGACAATTAATCAATGCATCTTAATTTTTACAGATTCTTCCAAATGGGAGTGCTTGGATTCCAAGCATAGTGGAAACAATCACAGAAGTCAGTTTGACCGAAAGCAAAAGCATTTTGGTTGACCAGAAGTTAATTGATGGGCCTAATCCGAATGAAAGAGGGAAACTATTCATTCCTTTCATCATAGCATTTCAAGTAAGTAGAAGGGTAAAATAGTCATTTCCTAGCTAATCATTTAACTTGATTTCTAACTTGATCATTGTGTGTAATGACAGTACTTTTTTGTTGTGAAACCGCTTCAAAGATCAATCAAGAATGATGTCGCGAAAGAGCTAAAGCCTTTATGGGCTTGAGCAACAAAGAAGGAAGATTTATGGTAATTAGTTTTGGATTTTAATTTTAGAGAACAATTTTTGTTTAAATCTAAAAGTTTACAATTTCTTAAAATTGAATTGATGTTGTTGGTATTGATATCACAATGTAGAGGAAAGTGTGTTGTTTTTGTCATGTCAAGGCTTTTTTTGGAGGGGTTGGATTTTAATTTTTTTTAATTATCAATTTAGAAAATGATTATAATTTATGAGAAAGGAAAATAATATATTAGAACGGTGGCAAATATCAAGGTTGAAACCTGTGAGATTCGAATTAAGGTAACTTTATTTTGAAGTGCATAAATCACAAGTAATATTTTTTTAATAAAGAAACGAAATAAATATTTATAAAAAAGAAATAATGCCATAATGAGATGTAATTAGATGTAATTTTTAGTTTAGTTTACGTAACCTTTCATATATTTAAGAGAAAATTACTTAAAATGGCAAATTGGCAACTAATAATACAAAATTTATTATTTAGGTTATTAAACTTTTAATTGTATCCAATAAGAAAACAAACTTTTTATTTTTGTTTTAAAATACCAACAGTTATGATTTTTGTCGGTTAAAAACCTAAAATGACAATGAACACCGTCATTGTCCTTGCCACACCTAACTAAAAGCCGACTGTAGTCATTTTTCTCAAACCACAATTGATAACCATTAGCAACGTCATATTTTTTTTGTGATATTGCTATTTTAATCGGTAAAAATACATGTAGTTGAAGTTGTGATCTGAAAAAATGATTAGAATAGGCTTTTAGTTAGATGTGACAATGACAATGACATTTTTTGTTGTTGTTTTAACCGATAAAAGTAGTAATTGATGGTATTTTAAAACAAAAATAAAAAGTTGGGTTGCTTATGGGATACAATTGAACATTTAATGACCTACAGAACAAATTTCGAGTTATTGGTTGTCATTTTAAGTTATTTTCCTATTTTAGTTGTGTCATTTTTAGTTATTTTATGTTATTTTAAGATATTAATTAGTTTAATGAAAAAAAGTTAAATATTATTAATGTTAGACTTGGTTTAATGTGTAATGAAAGACACACATGCCTTATAACCTTACCCCAAATTGAATAATGCGTATTTGGGTTTGGATGTGTTTGGTATCGATTGAAAATCATTTATTATTATAAAAACATTTAATACGAAATAATTTATTATTATAAAAAGCATTTAATATATTAAAAAATATGACATAGCTGATGTACATTTTATAATAACCAAGATGTGGTCTAAAATTCATGGTACGTAAGAGTTGGTGCACGCCTATGCGTCTCAAAAAGTCCTCCTTGAAATCATACCATTGTCAACGAGGCATAACGAGGTCTACGTAGGCTAAAAGGAGTGGTAACACTCCTAACACCTTGTCACATCAGTTTTTTGACTGCCATCTCATCTTTTTCCGTTTAGCATTTAGTCTTAGCATTTAGTAGGGAATGGTAACACTTCTAGCACTCTATTTTTTTTTCCTAATTTAACTAAATTATTTTATTTTAATACACAAATATTTTTTATGTACAAATATTAATCAAATTTTATTTTTTTAAACCACCAACAATTAATATAATATAAATCAATTATATGAAAAGAAGTATAATATTTAAATGCAGGGTCTTCTTGGTAATTTCAGAAAATTGGTTTGTGAGAGGAACTAAGATAGGGATGTGATGTGTAAGTCTGGGATTATTGGAGGTCCATTTCTGTCAAATTCAGATTTTTGTGTCTTGTCCTTCCCTGCATTTCGTCGAACACATGGACTGCATTACTCATCTCACCCTTTTTCTAACCTTTGAAACTGTGAAAGCAAGAGTCAAGTGAATCACAAAAAAAAGGAAAGAACCAATCACCTCTTCCCTTTATCTCTCTCTCCTCTCGCTTGCTTGTTGGCGACTTCTTCTTAGCGAGGCATTTAGCGTAATCAAAGGGATGGAGTAACGAACTGGTAGCGAGGGCAGTGGCGAGGCTTAGCTCCTCCCACTCCCTTTAGTCTTAAGCCAAAATCTATCTAAGATTCTTGAGAACGATCTGGCACCAACATTTTAAATGTTGGTTTATTATAGGAGAAATATTCAAATATCCCTAAATTAGTGGTGGAGTTAGGGGTGTTCAAAAACATGGTTTTCCAAATCCAAAAATTCCATGTAGAATTATTCGAAATTCAGTTATCAAATTTCTCAAATTTGAGTTTGGATAGTCATTTTCAAAACTTTCAGATATTTCTGATATCCAAATCCAAAATATCTATGTTCATTATTATTTTTTTAAGTACTTTTCATTACAAAAGGGAATATACGACAATAGGTTAATGCCGAAGGCTTAGATGTTGCTTGTATTTTTTGAGGCAAAATGTGTGCAGTCTGCAGTAGAATGGATGAATCAAATGTTTACAGTATAAAAGAAAAAGACTGTTTGTTTATTTATTATGTGCATATTGTAAGAATAAACTAACATCTAATAAATTGATTTAAAAAAAAAACTTAAAAGAGTTTTTCAATAATTTTATGATTTTATTATAGATAATTAACAAATATAAATTAACTTTTATGTATTATTATATAAAAAGTGTAAATAAAATAGTAGGAATTAACATATATATTTGATAAAAACCAACAAACTTTAGTCAGCAAAGTTATACTAAACATTGTAATTAGGGATAAAAGAATTTAACACATAAAACTGATGAAAATAAACTTTGATTTTAAACGAAAATTTTTAAAATTTTCATTTTACTTTTTCAATTAAATCAATAAAAAAGTAGGCATAAATATTTTTCTCATAAAATGAATGATACTATATTAAATAATATTTTATAAACTTTGGCATAAAAATATAATACAATATTAGATTTTTTTTTTTTTCATATCTATATAAACAACTCTAATAACAATTATTGTAATTAAATCTTTATTTATAAATTTATCATAAAAGTCATGATTGTGTCGTTGAACCTTTTTTCTGTAAGTATTATAACTTTTTTATTAAAAATTATTTATCATAGATAAAGTTGGGATAAATCAAAGTTTTTTTTTAACAAAAAAAAAAACAAAACAAAGATATATGTGTTTTTAAGCTAGAAGATGTCTAAAAATGTTTGAAGACTTTGGTCCACATCTGCGCCAATAAAAGGACAAACATACCTTTTTAGGTCTTCGGTCTTCAAAAAAAAAACAGTTAGTCAAGCCTAATGTCTGCGAGCGTGGTCTGTGCGACGCATACAACACGCACAAAGAGGTCAAAAAGACATGCAGACAAAAAACAAACAACACCTCAGTCGATTAACTTTAGCCTCTTCATTTTTATTTCGGTTTTTGTAAAGTTTTATTGCATGTACTGTTGCTTGTGATCTGCATCGATGTGAAGCAGTGATTCACTTTTACTTATGCCACGTTTTACCACAGGGAAGGTAAGTGTGACTTAGATTACAATTAAATAAGACATGCTAATAGTAATATTAAATGATAATTAACAAGATATCATTCACCTTGTTTTAAACTAGGGGTGTAATTGAGTCGAGTCGAGTGTTGTAGAGCTCAAAACTCGACTCGACTAAAACTCAAGCTTGAAAATCGATTCGAGCCTTAATTTCATGGTCAAGCTTAAGCTCAATCAAGTAATCGACACTTTTGAGTATGGATAAGCTCGACTCGAACAGTCATTTTAAAATTTAAAATTACATTAAATTTCAATAAAAATACGATTAAGCTCAGGATTTCTACTCGACTTGACTTGAATATGTAAAATAAGAATAACCATAGGGATAATAATGTAAATATAACTAAGCTTGATTAAGCTCGTGAGCTTTATGAGCTGAGTATTCTAGTACTCGATTTCGATTCGATAATATACTCGAGTTGCTCGAGTTGAGATTAACTCGATTCCAATGGAGTCGATCTCCAATAATTTTCGAGTCAGTCTCGAGTATCTCACGAATTGGCTCAGCTCAAGTACACCCCTATTCACCTACAATAAATGTGTTAATTTCTACTCTTTATGCCATTCTGTTTTCTATCGTTATGTAAATACATAGCATCATCTTAATTGATGACATTGATTACACTATTTTGATTAGCCTTTAACTATAGTAGAAAATATAGGATGATTTTTGTATAAAAAATTGAGATATTAATCAATTAAATAGAAAAACCGTTGGTTAAGAATTGTGTTTCAGTTTTTTGATTTATTAGTTCAATGAAAAGAATGCCTTATTCTCTCCAAATGAAGCTTACACGATAGAAGTAGCAAACGACTAGTTAGAAAGCACCTTAGAAATACTCACTAATTGCCTTCTCACCCTGAATAACCACATTTTTCACGTTAACCTAATACCTATGACTGTCAGAAGTTTCTATGTAATCATTAGAATGGATTGGTTATCACTACATCAAGCGAAGATCTTATGTTATGAAAAGGCCGTTCGACTACCTTTACCCAATAATGAAGCTCACGTGATTTACGGAGATAAATCAGGAAAGAATCCAAGAACCATCTCTTGCATGAAGGCAAAAAGGTGTTTGCTGAAGAGATGCTTCACTTTCTTGGCCTACGTGGTAGATATGCAAGACAAGGGTAAGGAAATCAAAGATATTCTGCAAGTGTGCGATTACCCGAACATATTTCAGAGGATCTTCCTGGAGTACCTCTAGTCAGACATGTTGAAATCCAAATCAATCTAATCCCGGGTGCAGCACCAGTGGCAAGATCTCCTTATCGTCTAGCTCCATTGAAAATGAAAGAACTATCCATTCAACTCCAAGAAATTCTCTACGAATGCTTTATCCGACCAAGCTTCTCTCAATGAGGAGCTCCAATATTGTTTGTCAAAAAGATGGATGGATCGTTCAGGATGTACATCGATTATAGAGAGTTGAATAACGTTCCATCAAGAACCGGTATTTACTCCCGAGGATCGATGACCTGTTCAACCAACTACAAGGATACTGCTACCACTCAAAGATAGATCTAAGATTCGGGTATCATCAACTTAGAGTACAAGAAGCAAACATTCCAAACACAACATTCAGGACTCGATACAATTACTACGAGTTTCTAGTTATGCCATTCGAACTGACCAGCTCACCAACCGTATTCTTGGACATAATGAATCGAGTGTGTAAACCCTACATGGATAAATTTGTGATCGTCTTTATCGACGACATATTGATATA